AGTTATATATATATATATATATATATAATATTGTAATAATACGTAATTATAACTACCGTTGGTTTGAAATTGAAGCAGTACTGACTGTGGTAAATATTAATAATTAATACTGTAGTATATATAATAATACCATTATTATTAATAGTTAAAAACGTTAGTTCTATTACAACAGTGCTATTACTATATAGTATATTAAAATTTCTTAACAGAGATGAATATAATAAAGTGAATTAACTTACGCTGTTAGTGTTACAGTGTAGTACACTTTCCTGAAAAGATAAAAGTTAAAAGGTTAAGTTGAATCCTTGCCTTTGCAACGCATACAGAGCTAATGCTTTCAAACTCCAGTTTAAAATGGACCAAGCAGATGAGAATGGTAACTCATCACCCCTGGACAAGATGCCAATCCAATGCAAGTTAACTCCTAGCTAACAGCTAGTATCCATCATACAGAATGATAAATTGGAACACATGGAGTAGTCTATCTCAAGAACACAAAAGCATTACGAAGGCCAGCCTCAAATTCATAACCACCAGACTAATAGTCCAAAGCACGAAGCCACACTTCTCCCTACAGTTAAATCCTTGCTGTGCCTTTGCAAGGCACATAAGGTCAGTGCTTTCAACCTCCAGTTTCAAGTGAAACAAGTGGAAAAATAAAAGGTCGGTTTAAGTTTTACTTTTCTTAAGGATTGGTATGCAAGGACACCCTTGAAGAACTAAATGGTTCCTTTTTTTCCCATATATATAATGATAAACAAGCTGTTAACTCTATAAACAAAATTTACAAACATTTAAATGTAAATTTTACTCCACCTATAAAAGTAATATTATATTCACAAACTCAGCAAATCATAAATCACAAGCTCCAAAAATCAGTATTTTACTGTTTGTACGACACTTAAAACATTATCAAAATGTTCAAGTTCTTTTCAGAGTTATTTTGTACTTTGCTGTATCAAAATAATATATGTTTTTCTGGCAACTATTATTCACTTAACTTCCTTCTTATAACTCTCAGTGTGTTTTCAGTCCCAGAAAGAATCATGTCCAAGTAATAAATCACAGTTGGATTGAACTATTTATGAGTGTTTTGAACAACATTTCAATGTTTTTACAGAGACAAAAAAATCTTGTAATTAAAATTAAACTTAGACTCACATTACTGTTTCTTTATTACTTCAGATCCATTTTTAAAATATTACATCGTGGCCATCTTTGTACTGAAATATGAGAATAAAGAATTTTTTTTTCAAAATTTGGTCAAAAACATGGCCTTGCCTTTTCGGTGAAAATATGAATTATTTTTTGAAAAGGGAAAAAGGACTTTTTTGACGCAAAATTAATATAAAAATATCAGATAGTGCTTATTTTGTCAGAAAACTCAAAATTGAGACATTATACCATTAAAGAAAAATATTATGTCCCGTGAAAAGCTAAAAAAAAAATTGAGCTTTCGCTAACCCAGAGTAAAAACAATTCATTTCGCTCACCAAGCACCTGTCCCATATCTAAACAACTTTAGATGTTAATTAGTCTCATATCTCTGTCTAAAGCTGGGTGATTAACTTGACTAATAATTATAATAAATTAATTATGAGCACTGATTATTCAATATAAAATAACAGATTAATTAAAATTACAATCAAATTGATTAAAATCAAGAAAATAATTAATTAACTGAAATGTTTTCAATTATTATGATATGTTTGATTATTACAATTACTGGTTCTCAAGTTAGAATAACTGATTGGTTGAATGTAATTGATTAATGATTAATTAGTAAATTCCATTAATTTCCCAGTTTTATTTCCTTTTTCAGACTTTGATTGGAATATCTTTTTTTATTTTAATAAACCTTGCAATGATGCAGTATTTCCTATTGCTCTATATTCTTGTAAATGTCACAAGGACGTAAACTCTAACACACCATGTCCACACGTAAACACTGTTTTACCAATATTTATATTCACATTGACCCAATGGAAAATCTCTCATCTACCACACAAACTATACAAGATATACCTGTGTACTATTTTAAAGTCTGAATACATGAATATGAACCTAACAATCATATAGTTATATTATCATAATAAAATCTTTAAGTTGAAATTCTGTTTGATGGTAACCATGTAATTTAATTTCTCATTTAGGCTTGCAAATAGAGATTAAATCAGATAAAGTTCCCAACTGCTGTGTGAATTCTACTGCAACATAGCTCTCCTGCTAAGATTTATTCTGTCATTTCCATTCTGTATTTTGTATCCTTTCAGTTTTGTTTGTTCTATACATGTGGCACTGGGTTTTGTCTAACTTCTAAGTGATTGAGATATGGTTTCTAGCGCCCTCTTTTCACCCTTTTTTGTAGTTTCTTGAGGTAGAACAACCTTCCCCCAACTGGCTACTTATGGTAAATGATAGTTATCGATGTTATTAGCTTGAGCAACCGTGACTAGACCTAGTTCTTATGCTCATATGTATGAGGCTTAACAATGCAGACTGAATTTAATACACAGTTGTTAACCACAGCTACATGAATGTGTGTCCTACTTCTGCAAAGCTCTCTTATTTCAGACTTTGTGAAAAAAAAGTACATGGAGAAAAAACGAAAATAACTAGACCAATATGCAAGTTTTATCTTCACTGGTTGGTACATTTGTACATTCAATACAGTGCAATGATATGCTACTGTATCAAGTCTAATTTTATAAACTTAAAATCACCGATACTACTACATTGATAGCAAAATCTTAGAAGTAAAATTCTTATTACCTTAGAAAATAAACACCATTCCACATAAAACTATTGCTCTTTTTGTAACTTCATAATCACAGCTTTGAAATAGTTTTTCCTTTCATTTTTCAAAAATATTGAGCATATAACAGTACTACTACTCGTACTATTATATTACAGGGGTAGGTTAAGATGTCTTTGCTTATTTTCTCCACAGAAAAGATGGGTAGGATGTATTTGCTTCTTAAACTACAGGATTATCCAAGGGATCAATATTATAAAGGCTTCTGATTCTTGTTAAACTACAGGATTATCCAAGGTATCAATATTATAAAGGCTTCTTATTCTTGTTAAACTACAGGATTATCTAAGGGATCAATATTATAAAGGCTTCTAATTCTTGTTAAACTACAGGATTATCCAAGGTATCAATACGATAAAAGCCTCTGATTCTTGTTAAACTACAGGATTATCTAAGGGATCAATATTA